ATGGGTTGGGACTCGGTTATGTGTTGATGCAACCTGGTAAAGTGATAGCCTATGCCTCAAGACAACTGAAAGATTATGAAAAGAATTATCCCACTCATGACCTTGAACTCACTACAGTGGTATTTTCCCTAAAACTTTGGAGACATTATCTTCTTCGTACAAAATGCCAATTGTTTACCGACCACAAAAGTCTCACGTATATTTTCAGCCAGCAAACTTTGAATGTGAGACAACAACGAGCCATGTAGCTGATCAAAGATTATGACTGTAAAATCTTGTATCATCTGGGAAAGGCCAATGTCGTTGCTGATGCTCTTAGCAGAAAAGTTTATCATAATAGTATGTGTTATACTATAACTAACACTACAGTAAAGTTCAATATTCTTGATGAAATAGAGAAATGGCAAGTAGAGGCCTTAAAGCCAGAAAATGTGAAGAAAGAAGGAATGATTCATTATACTGATCTTTTACTTGATGATCCATGAAGATTGAAGGTATTTAAGAATCGACTATGGATTTCAAAGATTGGTGGATTAAGACAGACGATTTTAGATGAAGCTCATAAGTCTAAACTATCAATACATAATGGTACAAGTAAAATGTACTTTGATGTACAGGCTAATTATTGGTGGCATGGATTAAAGAAAGACATTGGAAATTATGTGTAGGAATGTTTAATATGCTTCCAATTCAAAGCAGAATACCAAATGCCTTATGGAATTCCAGAAAGTCTTAGTGTTCCTGGGTGGAAATGGGAAGAGTTGTCCATGGATATTATTACCAAATTCTCGAAGACTTCTCGACAGAATGATAGCATTTGGGTAGTTATCGACCAACTGACTATGAGCGCACATTATATTGCCATGCATGAAACAACTCCAATGGAGAAATATGCACAAGTATACTTGGATGAAAGTGTTGTGAGACATGGTGTGCCACTAAAGATTATTTCCGATCGTGATACATGCTTCACTTCTCATTAGTATGTAATGTGAATTGGGATCTCGAGTTGCTCTCAGTACAACTTTTCATCCTCAGACAGATGGTCAAATGGAGAGACCAATCCAAATAGGGCAAGATATCCTTTGTGCATGTGTCATGGAATTTGGTGGTAAGTGGGACAAGTACTTACCTCTTGTCATTTTTTCATATAACAACAACTACCATACTTCAATGAAAATGCCTCCATATGAAGAATTATATGGTTGTAAATTCCATACTCCATTATGTTGGCGTGATGTAGGACAAAAAAATCCTTGGATGCCCTGAAATGATTCAAGACACCACTGAGAAGATTCAAATTATACGATAAAGAATGAAAGCGGCCAAGGATCGACAGAAGTGCTGTGCAGAAACGAGGAGACGACCCATAGAATTCCAGGTGGGTGATTTAGTAATGCTAAAGGTATCCCCATGGAAAGGAATTATGTAATTTAGGAAGAAAGGAAATGTGAGTCCTAGATTTGTAGGCCCTTTCATAATCATCCAGAGAATTGATAAGCAAGCATACCGCTTTGAATTTCCTGAATATTTGGCACATATTCATGATGTGTTTCATGTAAGTTATCTGCATAAATGTTTGAGCATATATGATGAAACGGTTCCGTTATCCGAGGTGAAACTGGATAATAAGTTAAGATATATAGACGAGCCTGAAGAGATCGTAAACGAAAGAACGACTTGTAACAACGTGAATTTTCAAAACAAAAATTTCATTTCTTAATAAAAGTTTTCATCCAAAGCAAGTCATAAAATCCAATGTATCATAACATAATACAAATCATATAAATCCCAAGATCATAAACTAAATCCTCCGATAGTATGTACAGATCACGTCGGCCCCTTCCCACGGTCCTCGCAAGTACCTGAAACACATCACACAACAACTGTAAGCATAAAACCTTAGTAAGTTCCCCAAAATACTACTTACACACATACGCCGTTCCAGGCCATAACCTTCCGGTCCATGTGTCTCAGGGGACTTCCGTCTCGACCCGGTAAACCTTTTGGTCCTACCTCCGTCAACCTTCCGGTCCACATCACAATGCCTTCCGACCCATAAAATAAATGCCTTCCGGCCCGTATCAAGCATAGCATACATAGCACATACAAACGATTAACTTATTCACATACAATGCATACAACTCAAAACATATCCGACCTTCCGGTCACACATATATACCCTTTCGGGTACAGTATAGTGAGAAGACTCACCTTGCAGGAAGTCTAGAATCTCACGTGCCCGCTATCTCCGAATCTCGAAACGAAGACCCGTCCCCGCCTTATAATAACGAAATATCATTCTAATTAATATAGGCTTCGAAGACTAGGCTACACCCTTTCCATTATCCCACAGATGGGTAAAAGACCATTTCACCCCTCCTTGACTCAAAGTCCACATGTTGACCAAATCCCTAAAAGTCAACAAAAGTCAATAGACCACAGTACGCGGGGCGTACTGGCTTATGTACGCGGGGCGTACATCGATGAACCACAATATGGGGTCTCAACCCCTTACGCTGCGCATACTGGGAGTTAAGCCCAACATATGTCCGAGATTTAGCCATACCATATTTTTGGTCTTAAATGGTTAAGATACTTCTTCAACTTCTAGATCCGGCTCTCTTTAAGTCTCCTAACCCATAAAGTCAGAACCTTTAAGCCTTGGCATGGCTGTAAAGACTCCTACATTGTCTAATACCTTTCTTTTCAACTCTAAAGATCTAGATCTCATTCATGGCTAATTATTTACGTCCAAGATCAAATTTTTATGAACATACAACTCAAATAGACCTGGAGTATGATAGATCTAAGCCAATGGAGACTACTTGCTCACAAAGTCTCCATCTTTGGGACCAAAACCCTAGAAATTGGTCCAAGAAGCATACCATAATAAGTACAAGGAAAGATCTGAACTTTTTACCTCAGGAAGAACCTCCAAACTTTGCTATCCACGGATCTACACTTGTACACGAATTTCTAGACTGCACAATGGACTCCTCTTCTCCTTTGCTACCTTGAAATAACACCTTGAAGCTTAGAACACTCACACCCAAGCTATAAACGAAGGAACAACTCTCTTAGGGTTTCTTTCTGAAGGATGGTGGCTGAGGAACCAAGCTATCTCATTCCTTTTATAGCCAACAACCCAAATTAGGGTTTTGGGTCTGGACCGGTTACCCCGACGTAACCTTAGGAACGCCCAGTGTACCCGGGTGACAACGCGTTCAAGAAGGCGCGCGAGTACGCGCAACATACTCTTTGTATGCCCAGCGTACTCGCCCAGCACAGAGGCCAAAAATGACTATCAGTAAAAGATGAAGGGCTAAAAGGTTGAACCTGAATTTCGAGCTGTTACAATTCTCCCCCACTAGAATCAGAATTCGTCCCCGAATTCTTATTCTAAAAATAAATCTGGATGCTGCTCCCGCATCTCCGAATCGGACTCCCACGTCAACTCGGACCCCTTCCGATGCTGCCACTGCACTTGCACCAACAGCACTTCCTTGTTCCTCAGAACCTTAACCTTTCGATCCCTAATTTCCACCGGTCTCTCAACATAGTTCATGCCTGCATCCACCTGAATATCCTCTAATGGTACTACTGCCGACTCGTCGGTAATATACCTCATCAAATGTGACACGTAAATGGTGTCGTGAATCTTACCCAACCCCGTAGGTAGATCCAAACGGTAGGCTACCCTGCCTACTCTCGCGATTATCCGAAAAGGTCAAATATATCGAGGCCCCAACTTGCCACTCTTCCTGAATCGAATTACTCCTTTCCAAGGAGAGACCTTAAAGAGCACAAGGTCACCAACCTGAAACTCGAGCTCGGACCAACGCCTGTCCGCATAACTCTTCTGGTGACTCTGAGCGGTCAACAATCTCTGCCTGACCTGTTGTATCTGCTCTGTCATCTAAAGCAATATCTCCGTACAACCCATTACCCGATGCCCCACCTCTTCCCAGTAGATGGGGGTCTGATACCTCCTCCTATACAACAGCTCAAAGGGTGGCATACCAATGCTTGAATGATGGTTGTTGTTGTACAAAAACTCTACCAATGGTAGATCGGTGTCCCAACTCCCTCCAAAATCCAAAACACAAGCTCGGAGCATATCCTCGAGCGTCTGAATCGTCTGCTCACTCTGCCCGTCCGTCTGTGAGTTGTATGCGGTACTAAAATGCAGTCTCTTTCCCAACTCCTCGTGAAACTTCTTCCAAAATATGGAAGTAAATCGTACGTCTCGATCTGAAATAGTCGACATCGGAACCCCATGCCGCGATACCACCTCCCTCACATACAACTCTACCAATCTCTCGATAGAAGAGCTCTCACTAATAGCAAGAAAATGAGCACTCTTCGTCAACATATCCACAATCACCCAAATTGCATCGACTCCTCTCGCAGTCCTTGGCAATTTGGTGATAAAATCCACGGTAATTTGTTCCCACTTCCACTCGGGAATCTCCAGCGACTGCACCTTACCATGCGGATGCTAGTGCACAACCTTAACCTGGAGACAAGTTAGGCACCTCTCGATGAACCATGCAACATCCCTCTTCATACAGGGCCACCAATACTCCTTCTTTAGGTCCAAATACATCTTAGTAGCCGCGGGATGGATCGAGAACTTCGATCGATGTAACACCCCGTTTATTTAATAAATAAATAAATAAATAAATGATTATATAATAGCCCTAAAATCAATAATTATATAGCAAGGTGTTGGTTTTTGGGAGCCAAAGGTTACAATTTTAGTAGTCGGGGGTTAAAAATGTAAGTCCGGAATTGGTCGTGTAAATATTTATGAAGAGAGGGACCACTCGGTAAATTATTAGGACTTAAAATGGATCGATTATGGGAAGCAAGGGTTAAAATGGTAAATTTCAGACTTAATTTGTAAGGGTTTTAAGAGGCAAGGTTCAAATGGTAATTTATGGGTTCACTTTGTATGAAGAGGGGTATGAGAGGTTGTTATGGTCATTATGGCAAACCTAGTGAATGGAGGTGGGTATATAAGTGTAAGGGAACCCTATCCTTAAAAGAAAGCTACAGTCGCCACCCTCTCTATCTCTATTTCCGGCTGCCGCACATCCTTCACCTTCTTTCCTCCGCCGCTTGCATCCTCGTTGCCTGACGCCACCCAACAACGCCTGCCGCCAATGATGATTGTGTGCCACTGGAGGTGTCGCTGAAGATCGGAGTAGAAGCCATGGAAGCGGACGAGTGGTTTGTGAACGTTGGGAGAGTTGTGGTCGCTTTTTCACTTGAGGGAGAACGACGATGGAGCCTCATTCATTTGGAAGCAGCGGGAGATAAGTTGTAGCCACTTACGCTGCCTCCACCTCCTCATCTGTGAAGCCAAAAAAGTGGGACCATATGTGGAGCCGCAAGATCAGTCGACAATGAGGCTGGGAGCCGCTAATTACCATTGTTATGTTGTTGTTGCCACCGCCGGAGGAGCTTGAGCGTAGCTATCATCGTCACAGAACCCCCCTCTGCTCGGTTCGTTGCTGCTGAATCACTATCTCTATCCTGCCGGCATGAAACCATCGTTGCCGCCGCCATACGCCATTATCAATTAGGAATCTGTCATCTAGCAGTTGGGGTTGAGTCTGCAGGACTGCAACATTATGGGATGGAATCTGCGGGACTTGAGTAGTGCCAGGTACATTGTTTCAAAGGAAAGGAGACGGCTTGGTCGCAGCACATCACACTATGTTTTCCAAATACTAGATCCTTGGGATTACACTCTGATATGGTTTTATGATACTCTATTTGATTATTGACACTTTGGTTTGACACGATATATTATTATGAATGTTTTTATATTGATTCTTTTGTGTAATAGCTTATTTTTAAAAAAAAAAATGAAATTTTTGGCCTTGAATTTTTGGATGTTACAAGTTGGTATCAGAGCCTTGGTTTGAGGGATTCGGACATACTCTCGGGTGTGTCTGAACTCAAACTAGGGGCTTGGTATGAAAATTTTCAAAACTGAAACCATTTTGTAAAAGAAGGAGTTTGAAAAGAATCTGAAAAGAGAAAAGGACTTTGAGAAGAACAAAGTGTGTCATGCGTGCAATTAGCTGAGCTCAAGTAAGTTTTCCCCAAGATATCCGTATATGTTATGAGATGTTATGATATGATATGCTTATGAGAACTGCATGCTAGATTAGGGCTAAGGATCTAGGAGGATGCCTTATATGCCTATTATATGTGCTTGTAGACTTGTATGCTATTATTGATCAGTCAGTGATAGGATAGCCTGTTTAAGTTATGCCTCATTGTATGAGCCTTTTAATTGCATGTACAAATTCTTAATTAGAGGATAAAATGATTTGATTGGAATCTGATGGTTAGATTTTCCATTGTCTGAATCTTTCTTGCTTTGTGCTTTGTGGAGTCTTAGTAATGTAAGTTAGCTATTAAGTGAATATGCTAAGTCACATGTGGCACAGACTGGATAATCTCAGAGTGATAGATTTGACCCTATTGCGCAGCTCACGTTTGAGTCTAACCACTATAGGTATGAGTCAGTTACTTGAGGGATTATCTGATCTCTATTGCATGTAGCTATATTCATGAGGTAGCTAGTTGCCACTACTGGGAATCTTTCACCAACTGAGGACTGGGTGAGTTCGGGAACCTAGGGAAGCCTAGGATATGTTTCAGTGAGTTAGTAGTGAGGATGATTGAGACTTGGGAGTATCAGTTTGAGGAAGTGACTTTGAGGATTCGGGAGGATTGCTGAGGAACGTATGGATAGGTGTGGAAGGTAGTATTGGGCCTGTACTACTGAAAGCACATGATCCATACTCGAATCGGTGAGAGTCTTGAATAATCTGAGAAGCTTCTGGGAGGAGTTTGTGACTCAGTTTGGAGGCAGATGATGTTCCAGTTGTTGCAGCTTAGCCATTGGCAAGTGAGCTAGTGAGTGTGACAGGGCGTCATGCCCTGAAGGATATGATTTCCATGAGTTGTAGATGCAAGATCGATGTGGAGCACCCTATTAGTAGAGGTCCCGGGAAGAGATCCATGGCTTTTGATACTTAGGTGAAAGGCCAGCAGGGTCGGAGTCAGTACTGCACGTATGGGAAAATGCACAAGGGAGTTTGTCGCTCCAAGGGTTTAAGTTGCTACAGGTGAGGCAGGGTAGATCATGTCAACTGAAGGTGACCTATATTCCTCCAGATTTTGCGGGTATGTCATCTTATACTGCTACCATATGGATGTTGGGAATACGTACCGCTTTGGAATTGTGAGTGAGTTTGGAAAAGTCAGACCTCGGGTCGGTTTTCTGTTAGTGTCTGGGTTATCAAGGATCATATATGCCGTCATGCATGCCGAAAGTCCTTGATGATCCCACTAAGGGATGCATCTTGCATAGTGGGTTCTGCATGTACCGTTATCATTCCGGATCTTTGTTGGGATCTGTGCAGGAGTATTAGTGGGGATATCCAGTCAGGGATAGAGCGATAGTTCTTCAGTGGTGGCAGCATTTAGTGGTTCTATCATGATCCAGGTATGGTCGACAGTGTTGGAATAGTGTCTAAGGCTGCAACTATATTAGGCAAGTATTTGATCCGGTTGTGCATGGTCCTTTTGGGTTGCCTTCACCATAGCAACTTGATGGATGATTTGTTAAGAGAGAGTAAATATTATAAGGAATAATATATGGTTATTTGATTAATATAAGTCATAATTAATTGGAATTAATTTGGTGACTTAAAGAGATTAATTAAATAAAGGGGTATAAACTGTCAATTGTTTGATAGTTAAACTTTAGACTATAAATCCATTGGGATATGATTTGGACGAATTCTATGAGATAGGATAGCTAAAATCGTCCAAAGGCTTATCTATGGAATGGATTTGGATAGCCTTAAGAGAAGATTATCCAATTAGGGTTTAGGTTGTAACCCTTAAGGAGTCTACAAGTATAAATAGACCCTAGGGGTGAGGGAATTCGACACACCATCTAAAGTAGAGATACTCTGGCCGAATTCCTCCCCTCTCCTCTCTCCTAAATCATCTTGCTTGCTATTGGTGTTTGTAAGCCATTAGAGGAGTGACATTTGTGACTCTAGAAGCTCCAAGACAACAAGATCAACAAGGAATCCAAAGGTATGATTCTAGATCTATTTCAATGTTGTTATTTAACCTAATTAGCCATTAGAAGTCTTGGATTCAAAGCATGTTTAATTAGAAAGCCTAGATCCAAGCATTAGGGTTTTGCATGCGCACATAGGAAAGTTCTTATGGCTAAAACCCATCAGTGGTATCAGAGCCTAGCTTGGTTTTCTTTAAATTGTTGCTTGATTAACTGAAACAAACCTGCAAAATTCGATTTTGGGTTTATGAGTCATGGACTCGGCGAGTTCCAAAGTGGACTCGGCGAGTAGGCCTGTACTCGGCGAGTCCGGGCGTCTGGATTAGGCAAAACCGGGATTTTTTCATGTTTATCTTATGGAAACTTACCTTAATCATATTAGATCAACCCTAATCCGTTTTTTTGATATATATGACTATAATCTTGATCTAATTAAAGATATTTATCATCTAATAAAATATTTAATTTCCTTATGTGATAAATGATTAATTATTTTGATAATTATCTTAAAAGAAATCTTGGATAAATCAAATAAAGATAATTAGGATATTAATTGTTAATTGGAATTATTTGTTATTTGATCCTTCATGTTTTAAATGTTTAAAACCTACCCTAAAGTTTTGAAATTTATATTTGTGATTAAAAGTTTTAATTTAGACAACTTAAATTTCAAACCCTAGATTTTAAAAGGTTTTAAAATACAACCCTATACTAATATGATATTACTAGAATAATATATATATGTATAACTAAATGCTAGTCTTACCGTTAGTAGGCCTCATTCACGAAGCCGATCTATAAGGTGGGTATAAGGTTGCGGCCTATAAAATGGCGCTTAATGGGTGTACACTCACACCCACCGCTTGCTTGATTGGTGGAGGGTCGTTAGCCGAACGGGTAGGATAGGGCAACCTCATCTTCTCATTAAAAGTATAATAAGAAATACAAAGTAACTACACGTTTTAAAAATTTCCCAATCTTAGTTACTTTAGGAAAAGTGAATTGATGCAATCCCATGAAATTACACTTTGCACCTTGCTAAGAAGTTAGTGGAGCGTGTGTGGTTTACCGGCACACTAATTGGTTCTAAGCGAAGGTGGCAAAGGGTGATTCATTGTTTATCATAGTTCGATGGAGCGTGTGTGGTTTACCGGCACATCGAATAGGTGATCGTTACAATGAAGGCACCATGTGAATTTGCATGGTAATTCACACCCGCTTTGTGATCCTCGGCATCCCAGTCACAAACAAGAGGGGCATATCGAGATTTAAACATGCCATTGAATAGTTCAATGAATCTCATCCGAACCTAGGAATTCTCAAAAACACTTAGGACTAATAGTTTAAGTTTTGTAATGGAGAATTAGTGAATCGTCATTCACTTACCTTCAATTTATTTGCATGTTAGATTACGCATCCCTTTTCTAGTATGTAATGTTATTGTTGGATCCTAGCCCTAATTTTCTTATTGGGTGATAATTAGGGATTATTATTCTAATCTATCTTTGTCCTTTTTCTAATTGAAGATGTCGAACGCAAACAAACTGCTGCTAGTTCTTTCACGTTGATGAGCCTTTGCCAAAAGGTCACCTTCGATGGAACGAACTTTAGCGAATGGATAAGATACATTCGCACCATTGCTCGCTATGAGGATAAAGAGTATGTCCTCGATGAGAAGCTCGAGAAAATCAACCCCGAAGTTGCTACTCCCGAAGAAATCACGCCTTTGAAACTCATGAGCGAGATGCAACGAAGGTACATTGCATCATGATCGCCACCATGAACTCCGAATTCCAAAAGTCCTACGAGGACATGTATCCATACGAGATGCATCAAGACTTGTTGGAGAGATACCACCAAAACGCGAGACAAGAGCGTTACGAGATTTTCACTAACATGATCTCCGCTAAGATGGGTCATGGAGAATCTCTTACCGTGCACCTGCAAAAGATGCAAAGGTATGTCGACCGCCTTCGCAAGTTAAATGTTGACTTCGGTGAAGACTTGGCGATCGACATGGTGCTTCACTCTTTGCCTCCAATGTACAACCAATTTAGGATGACCTACCACATGAACAAAGAAGAGGTCACCCTAAGCAAACTCCAAGGTCTCTTGAGGGTCGCTGAGAGCAACTTCAAGGACAAGTCTGTTGCACCTACTCCCAATCCGTCCGCTGCTCCTGTCTTGGCTATTGGTCAAGGGAAGGGAAAGAAGAGGAAAGCTTCATCGAATAACTATCGCAAGGTGAAAGCCCGAGATGGTCTCTTCTAGTGGGACCAAAGTTGATCCCGCTAAGCCCTGCTCCAACCCAAAGGAGGCAGAGTGCCACCACTGCCACAAGATAGGACATTGGAAGAGAAGCTGCCCGGATTACCTGCAAGCGATCAAAGAAGGAAAGATCAAGCCATCTTTCGCAGGTATATACACAATCAAATCTAACGATTCTAATCATGCT